ATTGCATATACATATGTACTGGTCACCATTCTTTCTGCTATGGCTACAGCATCCTCGGACCTTCTTATCTCTCTTTAAAGGGCTCCCTACGTTATCTATTTTAACACGGCTTCTAATGGAGATACCAGTACTAATGGGACATACTAGCTGGCCTGGACGCTGATACGCAGATACACCACTCCGTTTTGCTTTGGTACCAGTCAACCCCGCGAACAATGAGGACGCTTATGACCTGTCTCAAATACCCTTGCGCTATACTGTGGCAAATGCAATTTCTTGGTCCTATTCATATAACATGTTCACTAACTACCTTCGATTAGATCTCCCTAATCTTTAATAAGATAGGTAAATTACTCCAGCTGCTTAGAAAAGACACTCCTCCCCTTTACTGGCGTCCTAGGCTCAAAAAGTTCATGCCGCGTGATTTCCGCTTCGATGTACTTTCGCCGACTTGGCCATGTCAGAAGGCCGATCAGCGAGCAACTCCAACTGTCGCCCTTGACGCGTCTTCATAGGTTCCTCGATGCGATCACTGGGGATTTCAAGTTGGCAACCAGACCAATCTACATACTAAGTTGACTCTGGGACTATTACGACAATATTGGTCTCAGCGATATCTTCAAGAGAAACTACCGGGTCCATTCTCTATGCTGGGTATCCCACAAGTACCTTATATCTGCCCACCCGGTTTTTGCCATCCTCGTATTTGGAAAGTCTTTTGGTCCTTACGATTGTTACACAAGGTCTTTACCTCTGGCGATTGTGCGCATCGTTAAGTTCAAGGTTATCTTTGCATAGTCAGCGCCCTCAGCGCTGGCCATCACCCGATCTAGCACCCATTGAAGATGACTTCCACTTTGTCGTTGGCTCCCCTATCAAATGGTCCTTTTGGTCCACAGCTTTGGTCTACCTATCTTTCTCTGTTGTTCTACAGTCTCCAGATGAAGTCTGGCATGTTCTCCTCCAGTTAAAGCTTCCAACAAATGCACTGAGAATTACGCCTTAGAATTAGTGGGTAACATTTTGGAGGCCCTATGGCAATATCGTTGGTATGTAGTCATCAACAATGAAGCCTGGTCCTTAGCGAATGCATTGCAGAGACTCCAATCCTCTGTAACTTTACGTATCACGTTACAGAATGTCGAAAAAGTGCCATCACCAGACATAATTTAAACACTCTACTGAGAACTGTTCATAATATGTCTCTCATGTGCCTCTTCTAGCACCCCCACCCTTTTTTTTTCTCCTCTTCTACCACTTGTCTTCACCTCTCATTACCATCTTCTATCTTTCTGTTGAAATAAACCGCACATGAATTTAAACAAAAAAAAAAGAACATCAACAAAGGTTTTTGTGAAGAGATTGTATATACATTTTTGCATATGTTTTGTTGTATCATTACTATTATTTGCTTATGAACAATATGAAAAAGGAGAATAGCATGGAACATGACTAATCAAAGAAGTAAAAGTCTACGTGTATGATGCCAGGTATCAAAAATTGTTACAACAGTCCTGTTTATCTGACGTATATCTGATTTCAATAAAATACATAATGCTGCCGAGCAAGAGTAGATTCTATTCCGATTGTCAGCCTGAATATGTCTGCAAGTATTGTCCAGGATTAGGAATATTTCAGCAGACTCTTTGCTGAGAAAGAAGAATGCAAGCCTAAACGAACTATTGACAAGCTTTATTATAAGAGTTTATGTCTCATATGTACAACAGTACGTACTACCATGAGGAGGTTGCTGTTACCGCTACTTAATCGCTATCCTTAGACAAAGGTATATTCTCAACTTTCTTTTTTTTTTAAAAAAAAAACAAAAAAAACAGCATTACGCATCGAAGCAATAGGTCGACCATTTTGGTTGGACTAGCTTTTGAACTTCTTTCCTTCACGACTTGCTTCATCATTCAACTGTTTTTCTTTGCCCGAGTCACACGTTTATACCTGTTATAAAATCTTAAACGCAATTAAAATTAAAATACGGGTTGCTCTAAAGTAAGATATGTGGTAGCAGCTTTCGCTTTATGGATGTAATCCTACAACATTGTCTTCACCATATTTCAGATGAGTAGAATAATCAAGTCTCTGTCTGTTTGAACTGAAACACCCTCATTTAGTTTCATTATCGTGCAATTGCTTTATCACGAAGTTAGTAAAACTTTCAAAGCGATTAGCACTCTGAAGCGAGGATATATTGAGACTGTAACTTTAATGTAAACCTTGACAGTGACTTTCTAGGCCTACATCCTTGTCAATAACTTATTCCATAGTACACAATCATCTTTTTATTGTACATAGTCATTCATTACCTAGTATATGAATAATCTGGGTCTCATATTATCTGTGCACACTGAAATAATATTTCCTCTTGGAATAAGAACTTATTGCTTATAGCATGTTATAAATTTCATCCTATGTATTATTTTCATGGGTAACAGGCAGAAGCTGAAAATCCGGTAAGCCATATGCTACTTAAGCAGAACCACCTGTGCAATTTACAGGCTTTCACATAACTTTATCAATAGCCCAACTTAACTGTTTAAATGAATGGAGGGAGGCTTTTTCTTTTATGATTTTGAAGACATCTATCTTCATTAGGTGGGATAACTCGGCTGTCAGTTATAAGACTTTGCAATAAGAAGTAGATTAAGATTTTTAGTATATTTCCCTCTATCCCTAGGTACTGATTTCATTTAAGCGTAGCCATGACTGTGTAAAATCGGTACTTGAGGTACTGATTTCGTTTAAGCGTAGCCATGACTGTGAAAAATCGGTACTTGAGGTACTGATTTCGTTCATGCGTGGTTATGACTGTGAAAAATCGGTACTTAGGTACTGATTTCATTTAAGCGTGGTTATGACTGTGAAAAATCGGTACTCAGGTACTGATTTCATTTAAGCGTAGCCATGACTGTGTAAAATCGGTACTTACCCGTAACTTAATTTAATAAAGCTTACCTAGCTCGATATCGTTAAGTATTCTACTTTCTTTTGTAAATTACGTGCCATTTGCTATTTTTACAAGTTATTAAACTTTTACGATACTTTGATATTTTGTGGTCTGCAGTTAAATCAATAACTACGAAGTTAATGTTTTTGTTACTTGTCCGAAAAAGAAGCAACGCTATAAGTCTGGGTGTAGTCAGATATTATGAGGGCATGGCTCATTTCAAGTTCAAATGTTTCGCGTGTTATTTTTCGAATTTAGACCTTTATTTTGTTAAATGTATGCTGAAATTAATTTATATAAGATGCAATACAGATAAACCGTAGATTGTAACTTCTACATGGATGTACGCAAATATTATAGATATATCTTGCCAAATGTGTCACCGATTACATTTCCAACTGACTTGTCGATCTCTCTCTTTTTTTTTTTTTTTTTTTTTTTTTTTTTCTTTATTCATTATTTTTTCGATTACTCTCTATATGTTGTATACGATAGGATAAAGCATAAGAAAAAAGGAAACAAAAGGAAATCAGTGAAGACCAAGTTATCTTCTTTTATTAAGTAGAATATTCTGATAAAGAATGAAGACAAAAACCATGTAGGAAAAAAGTACTTCTATTTATATTTGTGGATATTGTAAAGAACTTTTTCTATCAAAACTCTTAAGTACAAGATGACCTGATGATAAAAGAAAAGACATAACCAACTGTTCCTGCACGGTTCATCATGCTATAGCGGTGCCTTGACCGATTGGATCGGTGACAGGAGGTAAGTGAGTTGATCTAACTAAAGGTTCCTTTGACCCGTACTTCAGCAGTTTCATTATAACTAACGTGACGGACAAGATAAACTATTCCTCAATTCTGCCGACGTCTACGTTTCAGTCTTATTGAATCCTGTCAGAATGTAAAGGGTTAAAGTAAGGGTCAACAAGTTAGAAGATAAAGGCTTAAGTAGATTAGATTTATGTATCGTGGTTTGATGTGCTAAATAAAGTTATCTGATTTAATCACATCCAAATACTATAATGTCTTATTTCAAAGTGAAGTCAATTACTCATCCAATGTTGTCTCGGATATACAGATGAAAATATTCTTCCGTAAAAGAGAAGAATTGTCCTAACAAATCTATCACTCACGGTTATTCTAACCTTCATAAGGATCCGTAATCTCTTATTTCAGTATTATGTAATAGTCCAAGAGTAATATGCTGTTGGATACAACAATACACAACAGTTAGTCTTCTCGACCGGGTGTCCATTACATTAATATAACATCTTTGCTTCCTTTTCACGCTCCTGTCGAAAAGATGAGTTAATTTAGGTTTCTACTAATTATCCCCTATCAGCAGCATTGTTACCTACGTAACTAGCTAATGAAAAACAATTTTATTCAGACCCCTATTCTAAAAAACTATATAAACCCCACAAATTTGACAGAACAATAAACATTAGATCTCCCTTATCTCAAAATCTTATTTTAACTTCTACACTAATCAAGTGTTATTCTGCCTTCTACTTTTGCGAAGCAGTATTAATCATTTAGAACTTATTCTTTTGACTTCATTGCTCTTAACATAACCAGATTGTAGCAGATACATCTCAGTTTATCGTTAGAGTTATTCATTTAGTCAAAGATCATAAATCAAATTGTATAATACACTTGAGACAATAAAAGTTGGTTAGTAATAACCTGGTGCTCACTACTCGCTCGAGTCTTATTTCTCTGCTGAACTTATTTCTCTTATTCTACTTAAGCTACCTACTCTACACCTATTAACAGCATTTAGAAAACGGAAAAGTAAAGGTATTTATCATTTAAATCTTGTAAGAAACGGCTATCGTCGTACAGATCTGCTTTTCTGGCCTGTTAGTTTCTAGTAAACGCAAATAATTTACATACAACGAGTCATGTGAATTTTCATGACCATTTTGTCACCAACCTAACAGTACAAAATTGTAAACCATAGCTGCAAATAGCCATAATTCGCAAGAATTCTACGAAACGTATCACGAAAATATTCAAAAAGTTAAAAAATGAAATGCCTTCTGGCGGAATCGAACCGCCGACCTTCTGCTTACTAGGCAGACGCTCTGCCAACTGAGCCAAGAAGGCAGGCTCTTTTGCTTATCCAACACTTCTCAAGACATTCACACACAATTACCTCTCAGGTCACGTGATTATCAGTTGTTTACAGCCATCCAATCATACAACGCTAAAGCTAGGTACCTGCCCAACCCAGCCTTAAGGATACACCATCTGTTTATTTTTTTTAGACGGATTACCTCCACAACACACGATATCCTTCCGTAACGATATCACCTTACAGCTCCCAACAACAACATGTCAACCCAAAAATTGGAGGAAACACTCGCCCGAGTGTTCACAGTCCTCCAAAACTTGACCGAAAAAGTCGACGGCCTCGCACTTCAGTTCGCCGAGCTAGTGACAAAATTCTCCGACCATGAGACTGCGAATGATTTTCCAGCGGGAGTTAAATCGTTTAAGCGCAACTGTGCAAAATCTTCAGAATTTGAATTTCGAACAGAAAAATGCCGCTATCACGCCCAATATGGCCGCTAGAGGCTTAAAAGTAGCAGATTCGATCTCTACTCCCAATGCCACTTCAAAGGCCACTGCATTGAGTACCGCTGCCAGCAAATATGCTACACCCACCACTACTCCTACTACTACCATCAACACCACTGCTACGACGCAAACTGCCCCTACTACTCCCAAAACTGCTTGGGTTCAAATTGTTAAGCGTCCCGCCCCTAAGAAACTAACTGAGCGTAAGCTTAAGGCCACTGTAAGGGCTTTCAGCCAATATGATCCTACTGCCCCACAAGGCTACTCCTACGTGTACATACCTCGAGCTCGTAAAATCAACCGTAGTGAAATTCGCCACCGCCTCAGTACCATTGGCATTGACACTGGTCGTATCGTAGATATTGTTGTATCGATGAAGAGATCACTGCTGAATATTACATAATAAAACCGAAGTACGCTTCGTTATTGATAGTTATAATTAAATGGCAGGTTACTTCACGTACATGATCTATTGGTACTTCAGTCTAGAATTTACATTGTTGATTGAGGTGACTTATCCAGTTTCTATTAGCCTCTATAACTATTACCTTATAGAGTGAGAGGTCTTTATTTGCTATTCCGCAGACATTATTCTATTCCAGACTCCACCTATTAAAGGTCGTAGAGGAGGTACACTAGATTCGGTGATCACTTTATTGTAAATTTATAATCTTCATCACGATTATGGTAACTATTGAATGCCCATGTCGATTATATCCTCTTCTCTACTGGTTCCTATAATGGACGCTATTAGTATCATTCAAAACCAGTCTATATACCCAATCACTTGTTGTCCGATAGGGCAATCTTTATATTGCCCGCTACTACTAAGTCCGACCAGTCAGGGTCGAGTTACACATTTCTGTTGCTCTCTTTAGGTGTTCCTGTCGCTGGTGTTTATTGGTCCTTTCTCCTGGTTACAAGATCAGTTAACATAGTCCATGGTGAATAGGCCTGTATACCCACTCCGTAAAAGATATAAATACCAGTTGATTCTGTTCATCTAGACGAACTTCATCTTAATTTTAAGAAAGGAATAAACTTGAACCTTCCAGAGTTTTCACAGACTTGTCACTGTTTATTTCCTATTTTATTTATATTTTGATCTTACCGATCCAACAGATATTACTCTACCTGCCCACCGTGTGATTGGCCTCTTGGTACACAACGACTTTACTACCGATCTCTCAAACCACCTCAAGGCCTGTAAAGTTGTTCCTTTGGAACACTTTGACCCTTTGGATGAAAAGCATATTGCTAATCCTGCTATGACCAATGCTTCTGCCACTGACCGCACTCGTTTCGCTAAAGCCCTACAACAAGACCGTTGTATCCGTGCCCTACGATATGTACGGGCTTACCTGGTACCCAGTGTTGCCCGTTTTTTTGTTGACCAAGGTTGGATCGCTGATTCCATTGCCAAGGAGATTGTTGCGGAGAGAAACCCCCGACCATTGAAACGTACCCGTGATATTGGCTCTTCTTCTACTACTGCTGCCGCTTTCTTGACCTCGTTAGGTTTTGTCACCGGTGATTCTGAGATGATTGAAGCTGGTGAGGAATTCCACGAGAGCGCCTTTGCTGATGATAATGATTCTGTTGCCTCATCTATAAATACAGATGGTGATAATGATGCCTACGAGATAAGCTCGTCGTCATCGGCTGCTCCCCGCTTATAGGGGGCACCACAAACACCACCAACAATCATCTGACATTGTCCATCGGTCTTTGGAACGCCAATGGTTTGCAACAAACAACTGTTGCCGATGTCCTCTCTCACTGCAGTTCCATGTCTCTTCTCTTAGTTACTGAATCCTGGATTCTTTCCCCCTCTCGTCTCCCTACTTCCTGGCATCAATTTCATACCTATGGTAAACCTGTCCAGGGCGGTTATCGTGGTTCTCAAGGTATTGTTGCCCTCGTCAATCCGAATTGCCCCGTTCCTGTCAGCCATTTAAGCAGCCCTTCACCCTATGCTCTCTCTCTCAATTTTGGTCCTTTTAGACTAGCTTGTTTCTATTTTCCACCGAATCTCCCCTTGGATGAGGTGATTGCTACTCTTGACAAGGTGCCACTCCATAAAAATACCATTCTATGTGGTGATTTTAATGCAAGGTTTGGTCGTATAACTGGCGACACATCTGCATCGGGTACTTTCGAAACTAATACTCGGGGTACGGCTCTCAAGGCTTGGTTTTAAGACCATGGCTTACAGATCTTGAACCGTACTTATGCTTACGGTATCCCTACATTTGCTACTTTTCGTAACACCACTGAACTTAGCAGTATCATTGACCTGTTTGTTGTGCCTGATGATGTACACGCTGTCCTCCATAATGTCTCTCTTTCCGTATTTTCCGACCTCTCTCTAGGGTCTGACCATAACCTTCTGGCACTCTCCTTCACCCTGACCGATACCTCTACTATTATGCAACCATCCACTCCCAATGACACAGCACCTGTCCAACCTCGACGCACCTGGAATTTGTCAAAGCTGAAGGAACTCGAAGTGTCTCTGCTTTATCAAGATACATTCAATAAGCTTTCCTCACAATTTCGGGAGATGTTGAATGATAACCTCGATCTACTACAGCGCCAAACATCACCGCCTATAAGGCCAGATTTCGATCTATTAGCCGCCTCTCTTTGCAACAGTATATACACCAGCCTCGATACGGTCATTGGCTCTAAAAAAGCTAGGCCCAAAGAATGGCATAAATATTGGACACCAGCACTTCAACAAACAGCCGAATATCGCAATCATTGTTATAAGAAATGGCGTAGAAGCAAAGGCATCGACAAGATTGGATGGTGGACCACCTACCAAAAAGCACAAAAACAATTTCGATACGATGTTTGCCAAGCAAAAAGGAAATCTTGGCAGGATTATTGTAAGCGACTAAAGGAAGACTTCATGAAAGCCCAAGGCCAAATCAAAAATCAAAAACGAAAACGGGACCAATCTTGCACTTTTAACCATCCTGATGGCCCTCTCACCGCAACAGCCATTATGGCTGAGTATTTAGAATCCGTATATGACGGACACTTTCTAGACGACCCACCCACATCTATTGACTTTGGCCTTACAGCTTCCTTTATTTCCACCATACTCTACGGACATAACTACCCTCTTTTCACCGACTACCATTACTCACTATATTAACCTTCTACCTCGTAAAAAAGCTCCCGGTATTGACCATCTGAAAGCTGAAATGCTCCAACCTCTCGCTAATATCATCGCCCCCCTCCTCTCTAAACTATTTCTTCTCTGCTACTCTTGGGGTACCGTTCCTTCTTCCTGGCGTCATGCACAGGTGTTTCCTATTTTCAAAAAAGGTGATCCTACGCAAGCGAGTAACTACCGACCAATCTCATTAACGTCGGTCCTCCGTAAGTTATTTGAAGTCGTTCTTCAACCAGCTATCAAGCAATCCGCTCCTGTTTTAGATGTAGCCCAGGGTGGGTTTCGCGAACGACGCAGTGCCCTTGACCAGGCCGTATGCCTTCATGAACTGATACAAGACTATCAACAAACACATCGATTTCAATTACCAGTGGTCGGCCTCTTGGATATCAAAGCAGCATACGACACAGTTGACCGTAACGTTATTTGGAAAGCCTTTCGCCAGCACGGAACTATTCCCTTGCCGTTACTCACTCTTCTACAACACTTGTTCGATGATGTTTATATTTCTGATCTTATTGATAATCACCACTCACCAACATTCCAGCCCAAAACCGGTGTCCTACAAGGTTCTGTGCTTAGTCCTTTACTCTACTCTGTTTACATAAATACACTACCACCTATATTCCGACGTTCCGCTTCCTCCTTAACTACCAAAGTCAAACTCCCTACTAGTTCTGAATCTATTGCTATTAATTCTTTATTATTCGCTGATGATGTCGCTATCATTGGATCTCGCTCCGAGGTTCAAACAATGCTAAATGATGCTGCTACCCATTCCCATCAACTTGGATACCGATGGAACCCGCAGAAATGCGTTATTCTTAACCATCCTACCGCCCGCACCGCTACTGGTGCTCACTCCAATCCTTTAACCCTATATGGGGTTGCTCTTCCTACTGCTGATGAAGTTATCTATCTTGGTATCCCCTTTACTAAGCGAGGTATATCTAGCTCTGCCCTTGCCCGCTCACGTAGCAAAACAACCCTTGCTGCAATGGCCACACTACACAAGATGGGCGCTCATAGATCTGGCTTCTCTCTCTCTCTCAGTGCCCGATTATACTGCTCCTTTATTCGACCTAAATTTGAATACGGTGTCGCGATAACTATGATGCATACCAAGGATATCAATAAACTTGAACAGCTCCAAAATCGATGCCTTCGTCTACTCATAGGTGGCAATCCACATACTTCTACTACTGTATTGAAAATCCTCACAATGATACCTGCTATCCAATGGCGAATGGAAGTTCTACAAAGTAAGTATTGCCTCCGTTTACCAACACTCCCCGCTGACTCTCTTGTCCTGTTACTACATCATTCTCGGGGTAATGATACATATATCAACAAGCTCAAAGCCAATCGCCTGTATAAATCATACACTGATGCAACTACCATCACATCCTTTGCTGCCCCCTTTCTTTACGATGACCGTCAAAAACTTTATACTGCATTTCGTGATACTCAGTCATCTCGTCATATACTGGCACGGGCATGCCGAGCCAAACTAGAAATCGATCCCATTTTGACTCTTCCTGCCACTCGTACTGATCGTAGTCGACTTATTCGCTGGCGTTTAGGTTGGCTTCTTGGGGCCCCACACGACTGCAATTGCGATCGCGACCACACATCTCGTCGTCATTTTGACAAATACGAATGTGATGCTATTCCCAGTGAACTATGGGAATCTCTCCCTCAAGCCCCTCCGACAACTCATACAATTGATCATGCACTCAACCGGCTGCCAACAGATCCATCTCAATATTGCCATTACTGGCCTGTGTTACTGACACTGCTGTGGTATATTGAATGCCTTGTTAAACCAAATGTGAAATTTCCAGAAGACCCTGACCCAGGTGCGCTTTGGCGTAATTACGCTGCCTCCCATTCAACTTCCGAAAATGGTTAATTTTTCGTGGACTGCTTTCGACTTGCACTGTCACAACCCTTAATACACAGCTGCCAAGCGATCAGCCATTACTAATTTTTCACCAGTACGAATAATTTCCCCTTCCTTCCCACTCTCCCCTTTTTCTAACTCTTGATTGAACCTTATAGATAGTTTTTTTGCTCTCAACCTGTTCCTCCCCCTAGTATAGCAATAATGATAAAATTAATCGCCTGCTTTATATACTATTTTCAATAAACAAAAATCTTTAACCTGATCCAAGAAGGCACCTTTCTTTCGGTTTACAATCTTTTTACTTAAATTCACAGTCACATTTGACAAGTCACGTGAACAACAACAATAGTAAAAAGACGATAATACTCGACAACTAGGATAAGCAACAGCAAGCAAAGTATATAGTAGTCTGATTAGTACCCCATCTACTAGTATATACTCCAGTTTCCAACAGAACCCACACGATCTTACCATTTGCAATTTGCCATCGTCAATTGCAAAATCCATCACCATCAGTGAAGTCAACATGACAGCCCCAATGGACCTCGCTGCTATTCAAAAAGCCTTTGCTGAGCAAAATGCTCGTATGACTGCCGCTGAAGCCCAGCTTTAACAACATGCTGCCCTCCTCGAGCGCTTAGCTCAACTTGAAAAAGTAAATGGGGAACTTCAGTCCAAGGTTACGACCCTGGAAGAAGAAAACCAACAGCTTCGCGCCCAGTTACTCCGCTCCTCTGCTCCCCCTTCCGATGCAGCTACCCCTCCTCAACCCCCAAGTAACCCCGCTCCCGCTCCCCACCCCACTGATGGCCCAATTAACTGGGCTCAAATTGCTACACGCGCCCCTCGCCGTCCCCGTCTTCCCACACCACAGAAAGTGGCTGCCATCTCTCGTGGCTTCAACCTGCTCCCCGAAGGCCCTAAGGGCTTCAAATACCTCTTCTTCCACCGCTCCCGCCGCTATAACTATATCCAAATCCGCAGCAATCTTCGTGCCATTGGTGTCGAAGTTGGCCGTATTTTGGATATCATTTTCCCTGCGCGCAATGTCTTTGGTCTCCTCATTGATGTATCCACATCAATGCTTTAACTAATCCACTCTTTAAAGAAAACTGAGACATAACCACTATGATCTAAGACAAATTATTATAAAATAACAACGCTCTTCTCATTTAATAAAACGGTATCTTTTAAGCTCGTTTAATACTTTTGTTATTGCAACGGATAAATCACATCCTCATTGCAACTTTTGCGTAACTTCCCTCTCATGAGGGCTATGCCTGATACCCTACTTTCCAACACCAGAGCTCAACTCAACAAGTGGCTCCACAATTACCGTCAACAATGTTTCCATGCCTTTCTTCAATCAACTGACAAAAAGTTAATTAAAGCATGCCGTCCTGCTTTGGGTAGACCCTATTATGTACCTACCAGCTTCTCGTTCTGATCGCAGCCGTCTCGTTCGTTGGCGTATGGGATGGCTTCCTGGTAAACCCAAATCTTGCCCATGTGGGCTTGATCATACCTCCCGTCGTCATCTCACAACAGATTGTCCCAAGATCTCTTTTGACACATGGCTCAACCTTCCACTTGCACCAATGGAAACTAACCTCACTCGTGTCGACCACCCCCTAAATGACCTTCCCACCTCAGCTTCCGCCACATGTCCCTCCTATTGGGTTACCCTCTGCCGATTATTGTGGACCTATGACACATTTTGTAATCCTGAAGGGGATCACTCAACTGATCCCGATCCTGGCGCTGTCTGGCTTCACTTAAATCCTCCTGCTGTCCCATCTATCGACTTACTCGATGACTTTCATGAGCCGTTCGATCTCTAATCTGTGAATTGTACCCTCTGTCTTACCCTCCACTGCTAAAACCCTGAAAGTGCACGATGGAAGGGAAGTCATGGTCATGAAGCGATTAGAAGATTTAACAAAGATTCTCTTTTCTTTTCCTTGCACTTTTCTAACTTTTACGAAGTCCTATAGTTAGTTTTTTAGTTTCAAGTAATTCCACCGTCCATTTATAAGACTGCAGTTTTAAGATCTCGAGATCGCCATGCGTTAATCTTAATAAAACAAAAACTTTAGTCTGAGCCAAGAAGGCTTGATATTTTTGTGCGATATATAAAGGATTGCCAGCCCAATTCGTAAAAAAAAGCACGTGAGGTCCGGCTCGGTGCTCGGTAGAGTGAATATGCGGAATTAGAATAGTTTAAATAGATAGATGAGACATATATGAGCTTTCTTTCATATAACAATCTTATATCTAAGTTAAGAAACAGTACAAAAAAACTTATACTGGGAAATTAACTATAGTTATTTTACGGACTACTACTCCTAACGTGTTATTTGAGAAGTGGCATTTCTGTGAGATCTGCTCGACTAATCGGAGGTTAACTATTTCTATTTATGGTATATGAGTGATTTGATCGCTCTCATGTTATGTCAGCAAGTAGCTCTCGAATTTTAAACAACGTATTTGATCTAGATTAAACAAGATTTTATTGGCAAATAATTTTAAACCCACATGAGCACATAATCATTATGTTATGATGCCTCCTAGGCGAACACAATCATTAGAGAGGTTTCTTCCTAGACGAACACAATCATTGGAGAGGTGTCACCTCTTTAAATACAAATATAGCCCACCTCTGTAGTTAAAACAACCTCAGTGTTTGTTGTATTTGCTTAATTAAAGATTGATAACTGTTGTAAGTCGATGACTATGAACTTAAGTGTCTTTATTGTTCTTCAAATGAAGTAGAAGGATTATTTACTCTGTGAGGTTTAATGGGAATTATATTATTTGAGGACGCGTATGCTAGTCACTAATTTCAGGTTCAGATGCTTGTTGTGTGATTATGATACTTAGGCCTGTATCTTGTTCTATGTTATACATAACCTATATTAGATGCAATATAGATAGACCGTGGTAGGATGTATTCTCTACCTTACGTACTCGAATATTGTAGTTATTATCTCAGCACGTCAGTGTTTTTATCTGTTTCTTGCCCCCATTGTTCTTTTTATACATCTGTTCAATAAACTTATCATATTAAGTATTACCTTCCTGTCCGCTGTAACGAACTGTAAATCTTACCAATTAGGATTAGGGTGGACTAAATTAAGTAGCGAGACTATAAAAAGATATTGAATGTCTTTATTTCGAATTAACATTTGGGTCTCTTTTATATCTTTTGAAATAAGTAATTTGTTTAGGGAAAAGGCATGTCTGAGACCTTGTAAGTAAATATGGGCAGATAGGAAAATACATGTAGTGTTGTTTAGGTGAATAATTACATGTACTTGGCCTAGGTAATCATAGAGGACATCACACAAACCTTTCAGAGACGTTGATAACACCAACCCCACAGTCTTGTTCTGTCCAATTGTCCTTCTCGTCTCTGCCATAGCTCACAGTCATTGCAGTTATGAGATTGAATTGCCCGGGTCAGATCAAATATAGGGGAAGGGGGAAGGGTGCTAAAAAACCTTTTTGGTAGTCAATAAAGGAAAAAGGCAGTAGAGAAGGGAAGAGGAGAAGAGGGTAAATCAAAGGACTAGATTAGTCCTTAGTGAGCCATTGGACTAACTTGTTACCAAGAGGGGGAGTTTTTTGGAGGGGGGGATCTTATTATGATGTAGATAGTCAAGTTCGAAGAAAATTTGACATAGGGCGGGCCAACGGATTTTCCAGGTGGAGAAGCGTTGAAGGTTTTGTTTGTTACGTGTTTTTCTGGTTGGAAGCATGTTGAGAAGAAATGATATTGGATCATTTACTGTGAGGTAATCGAAGGTGCATAGAAGGCATATTATTGAAGTGTTTGCGGGTAAACATGACATTAGTTGATATATGCACGGTTTTGGAATATTTGATCTACGTTTAAACAGAGATTTTATTACATAATATTAATTTTTTTAAAGCCCAATGGACACGAGATATTAAGCTTATCTAAATTGCCCGGGGCAGCTCCAAAGGCTTAAAATAAACTAAAAACCCCTTAGGGCTCAAGGGTAAAAAGGATTATGTACTAAAGGATTGTGGGAGGGGAAGAGGGTAACCAGTCGAGCAATAAGTGCCCTAACCGAGGAGTTGTAGGCGGCTCTTGAGAGTGGTGTAAGTAGTCGAGTTCAAACAAAATGTGACAAAGTGCTGGCCATAGAAAATGCCAGTGTTGTATTTGGGATGGGTTGTTGATCGGATGTGTAGGAAGACGGTTGAGGATATAGGATATGGGATCACGGACTGATGTGGGGAGTCGTAGGCGGTGGTGCATGTTTAAACAGGAGATAGCGTGGAACTTTGTAAGTAATGACGAGGGATGTTTAAGGCAATAGGTTCGGTGGCCTCCAGGAAGCCAACCCAAACGCCATCGGATACATCGACTGCGTTCATTAGTTGACATAGGAAGATAAAGGATCGGGTCGATCATTAATCGAGAACGGCATTGAGAGATCAGTTTGGAGTTGAGGCTGTTCGATTGTTGGATGTGAAGGAGGCTAGTGCGGAAGTTAGCAATACAGCGTCGCAGAGCAGCTGATTCAGATCGTTGATTGAGCGGAGAAGAAGTGTAATCTTGCCAGATCGGAGAACGAGCAAGCTTGCAATATAACGATTTACTTTGTTGCTGGCCTATATATGGGAGTAGTATCGAGATTAAAGTATCAGTAGGCAGTGAGGTAGAACGTAATAGGAACTTAGCTTGTAGGACGAAGGAGCGTTCTTTCATGGTGGGCAGATTGGCAAGGTGGAGCATAAGTCGGGCAGACGATCTACTGGATCCACCAAAGATTCGTCGAATACACTTGTTCTGGGTATCTTCGAATTGTTTATATTGCTTCGCGGTTAGGGGGCTAATAGCCAGTCCGTATTCCATCTTTGCGCGGACTAATTGGGCATATAACCGTAGTGAGAGCAGTTTTTCGAATCCACCAGGATTGACACCGATTGCTGCTAATTGGTTCATCGTAGTAAGGGCCTTAAATGTGTTAGTACGTGCTAGTTCATTTATATCTATACTACCACCTGGTTGAAAAGATATCCCTAGATACGGAAAAGTGAGCTGACGTTGTAGAGGAACTCCATAAAGCTGGTAATCTATAGGGTGCGTTGATCTGTCTAGTATAACACATTTATTCGGATGCCAGCGATAGCCTAGCCGAAGACTATGAGCTTCACATTGTTGCAACAGGGTCTGAAGATGATCTTTATCAGTAATCAAGACGACATCGTCGGCATATAGTAAACAGTTGATATTTAGAATCAATTCCGGAACAGGCAAGGAAAGATCCAGTGGGCTTGGACGGAGCAGTGTAGGTAGTTCGTTAATGTAATATGAATAGAGTATAGGAGATAGTATGGATCCTTGAAGGACACCAGTAGTAGGGCTGAAAGGTTCTGACTTGGCATTGCTCTGGAGGACTTCAATGCTGACATCGTCAAACATGTTTTGAAGTAGGGCAAGGAGCGGTACTGGAATATGGGGACGAAGCACTGTCCATATGACGTTACGGTCAACCGTATCGTACGCTGATTTGATATCGAGGAAAGCTAGAACTGGTTCGATCTTGTGCTGGCGTTTCAAAATATTGCAGATTTCCGCTAAACAAAGAGCTTGATCTAAGGAGCTACGGGCAATACGGAATCCACCCTGCGCAATATCGAGTGGGGGACTATTGGCCAAAAGGTAATCTTGGATGCATCGCTCTAAAATTTTGCGAAAAATAGATGTAAGACTAATTGGACGGTAGTTACCTGGATCGGTTGGGGGGCCTTTCTTATAAATCGGAATCGTTTGGGCAATGCGCCATGACTTAGGCGTATAGGACCATTTCCAGGTTAATTGGAAGATATTTAATAGAAAGGGCGCTATTCGGTCGCTGACTGGTTGCAGCATTTCGATTTTGATATCATCCACCCCGGGAGCTTTCTTACGGGGGAGGCTTTTGATCGCATTCACAATGGTATCCTCAGATATGAAGAACTCGTTTAAAGTGAACGCTTGCGTGGGGTCAATTGGTGGTAATTGGCGTTGATACGGTGATGGAGGATATTGACCCGAATACGTGCCTTGCATATGAGACGCCATGAGATCAGCTGCAGCTTGTGGACCTTCTGGGGAAGAGAACGAAGGGGTTAGATTTCGCTTCTTACGGATTTTACTAAAACGTGCAATTGCTTTGGTATACTCTTCATGACTCATCTGATAACAAAACTGTTGCCATGTTTCCTGTCGAGGACTTCGATAGAGACGACGAAGTTTGGCCTTGGCTTGCTGATGTTTGATCCAGTAGTCAAGTTTGTTCAGTCCAGTAGCCCGGCGCCATTTCCGATAATAGTATTCTCTTTGATCAAACGTTTGTTGCATTTCGACGGTCCAGAAGGATTCCAAGTTTATGAGATGTGGTTGAGTGACCCGTCCACAGACTTGATCTAATGCGGCATAGAGAGCAGTACAAAGATTCGACTGTAAGAGATATTTGATCTACAGTATTTCCGCTTCAGCTTCAGACTCTTTGATAATAAATTTGGATTTTTTGAAAATTTCTTTAGGACTATTCTCTGAATTTGGACAGTTGGGAGGGCTCTACTCCTAAACTATTATCTGCTGACCATGGCTCTTCCCAACTCCCAGCACTTTTCTAGGTCAACGGAGTCCAACTCGGCCTCCAAGCCCAAAAATCATTCTAAACGCTCCTATGCCCAAGTGGTCACGGCGTCTAAACGTGTTTCGCTGATGCATAAAGGCATCGAAGCTTCTGATATTGATGAAGGTGTGGTATTTGACGACTTGTGGAGTAAAATATCACTTAGTTGAAACAATAAAAAGCTTAACGAGATCAAACTAGTAGGTCTTTATTTTGAATCAAGTTGAGTTCAAAGAGAAGAAAAATATCTACTGCAAAAATTTAAATATCTTCTTCATATTGCGAAACCTAGAAACTAACAGCTGAGTTATTCTACTCAAAGAAGATGTACGTCTTCTGAACCGTAAAAGAATAGAATACTCCCTTGAGGAGTCTACACATCTACCCGGAGCGGGTGGATTTGTAAATGGATCCATGGCTTGATCTAGCGATCATGCAACTAACCTATTTTCCTGTGCTAACCATTATATAGCACTGCTTGCAGGAAAATAGTATTGATTAGGAAAATGATATTCGCGCGTGGTGTTTGAGTTGAGTGAACAGTTATTGTAAAAGATGATCACAGCCTATTATCTTGTAATCATTCTTTTTTTATATTTGACATTCAAGTAGTCAGGAATAAATATACTGAACAACATATGATACGAGGAGTCCACGACCAGCAACCTAATGTGTATGTTTGTATGCCTTTGACTGATGTCCCAGGAAAATACATGGAAGTTTTTGGTTGAAAGTCCCGAAGACAGAACTAAACTTCAGATCGAATGTAATGTATGTAGTGTATATACAGAATAAAAGGAAAAGAGAATAAGTTATCTTATTTTATCTGATAGTAATTTCCTGAAGAAAACAAAAACCAAGTGGAAAAATCACTTCTATTTATGGATTTGGATATTTTAAAGAGATTTTTCTAGCAGAACTCCTAAGATACAAGATGGCTTGATAAGAAGAAAAGACATACTTAATTGCTACTGTACAGTTTAATCGTTATAGAGCGATGCCCTGACCTTCAATATATGTAGTCTTTGAACAATGCCGATTCGATAAGGCTTTTAATACAAAATAAACATCTATTAATATCCGAATTTGGAGTTATCTGGAAAAAGTTTCATTAGTACAGTTTGTCCTTCCAAAATATACATTGACAGTGATCAGAAATCAGTAAAAGCCATCTAAACTTGCTGACCGCAACTGTATTGCAAAAAATGGGGAGCCATGAGTTTCATTGACTCGTACCTGAGTTTCTGTAAATCAAAAAGTTTGGTTATAACTCAGTCGAGGGACCATCATCTGGCCCATCACCGATTTAAGTTAAAATTAAAGTCGAACTGCACAAACAAACACGGAAATGGGTTGCGGATTAGCAAGCATTGTACTATAGATCTTCTTAATCGCAAACTCATTTAAATTACACATGATGAATCAGTCTATACTATCGAAATATGAAACCTTTATTAAGCTACAATTGGAAACGAAAAGATAAAGCAACTATGAACTTCTCAACGGCTTAAAATTATAGATGTGTAAAATTTTTGGTGACTATATTAAAATGTGCGATAGATAGATAATCTCTTGAGTATCAAACGGAGACCAGCGTAGTTCTATAAAGTAATGCATTCAAAGAAGCACGCATGGTCGTTTGAGAAAGAGTAGATGACTACATGAATCTGTTTCTCATGGCAAAAAATGGAGATTGATATTATAATCAAAATGTGACCGAAATAATACGTAAACATAGAGCATCACTCTATGTCTGTAGCTTAAAAGTGTTATAACAAACCCTTACAGTCTGCTCATCCTGAGTTTCATTAGAATGGCTATGCATACAAACAACCCAAAATTTAAGAACCTACATGAATGAGGCTTATGAAGGAAAGTTGAATCATCCTTTTTCTTTCATGCTTACCTTTTTATGCGAAAAAAATACTCAAATTGACGCTGATTAGTAAACAAGCATATTTAATTATTCAAAGATGAAAAGCAGTATGTTTGTTTAAGCTTAGTAACATCTGTATAAGCAACAGAATCGTTTGCACATGATTGATAAAGCGATATGGGGCGCAGTTCCATTCGCGATATAGAATCTTCCTCATTGCTGCAGAAATAAGCTGCCCTTACTCTCATTTTGGCTTATAGAGGCTCATGTAATACTTGTCATTCATGTGGACAGATTATAGAGTGATAATCTTTTTTGTTTATTGTCACCTTTCCTGTCACCAAGTGAGCGAGAGCGAAAAACACAGCCAATAGGAAGGATTACCGGGATGCAAATTTTTTCTTTTTCTTCTTACAACGCGCTTGAAAATTTTCTTTTTGAATTGTTCGTATTTGTTTCAAGCTGCAGTAAGTTATTTCTTTTCTCTTTCTCATTTTTTTTTCTTACTTCTCCTATATACGTTCATCTCTGCGATCACCAGACAATAGTCTTTAAATTCATATTTGTCATAAAAAAAAAGTAATGAATAAGTTAAAAAAGTGGGAGGTATCTTTCCTACTATTGCCGTTATTGTTTGCGGCTCGTGTTCTGGATGTCATAGGCTGGTTGATGGAAGGATCATTTGGTTTGTTCTTGTTCCATTTTGGTAAAGGAAGAAAAAAAGAGTGTGTTTGTTCGCATCAAGTTTTTTAGCTAATAGATTATTCTTAGATTATCAAAGTTATTGGAGAAACTTTTATGCGAAAATGGCTAATATTGTTATGATTGGTACAAATAATACCGAAAGTAGGAAAGGTAAGAGTTATTATTGTCACTCTTTGCTAGATGCACTTTCTCATTGCTATTAAACGATAAAATATAAAGAGACTTTGTGTGATGACAACCATAATACTACAAATAATCAATTGTCGCAAGAAAATGTATGTACACCGGTCAATGATTTGAAAAAGGTAAGGATTGAATAAGAATAACATAGCAATAAAGGAAAGCTTATTTATATTCCTAATGGTAACCATAGAGAGAGGTTAACGAAGACGACTCCTTAAAAAACAAGGATGCGTCAGGTTTAAGGCTTATCAGTTCAGCGGCTGCAGGGGATTCTCTCAAAGCAGAAAACAAAGCTGGTATAAATTCAACGGACACCCTTCAGAACGGCTTATCTTTTCTTGAAGACATTTTGAGTACATCAGATAATTCCGAACTCACTAGTAAATATTCCAAGAATATTAACAAGAAGGAACAAGAATCAACTGATAAGATAGATAATGAGCCATTTCTTGCCGCTTTTGAAGCTACTACAGCTCGTGCAACAATGGAAGCCAAGATATTTATCACTAATTTGCCCAGACCTCGTAGAAAATTTCTTGCAGATTACAATGCTACTACCGCACACGCTTTTCTTGAAGGTAGAAAGTATATTGCCGATTCATCAATTTCTCATTGTCAGCCATTCCTTGCTGCATATGAAGCTTCTACTGCTTTTTCATTATCTGTTGCAAAGGAATATGTCAACGGTTTAATGCCCATCACGGAAAGGAATATCGAGGTACAAGAAGAGAAAGAAAAAGCTAGGGCTCTCACTGTGACTTCAACTGATGAAACAACGGATATGGCATCTTCTTTGGTTGAATTCGAGGCTACCGCTGCCTATTCATTATCTGTTGCAAAGGAATATATCAACGGTTTAATGCCCATCACGGAAAGGAATATCGAGGTACAAGAAAAGAAAGAAAAAACTAGGGCTGTCACTGTGACTTCAACTGATGAAACAACGGATATGGCATCTTCTTTGGTTGAATTTGAGGCTACCGCTGCCTATTCATTATCTGTTGCAAAGGAATATATCAACGGTTTAATGCCCATCACGGAAAGGAATATCGAGGTACAAGAAGAGAAAGAAAAAACTAGGGCTCTCACTGTGACTTCAACTGATGAAACAACGGATATGGCATCTTCTTTGGTTGAATTCGAGGCTACCGCTGCCTATTCATTATCTGTTGCAAAGGAATATATCAACGGTTTAATGCCCATCTTAGAGAAAGAAACTGAGGTAAAAGAAGAGAAAGAAAAAACTAGGGCTCTCACTGTGACTTCAACTGATGAAACAACGGATATGGCATCTTCTTTGGTTAAATTCGAGGCTACCGCTGCCTATTCATTATCTGTTGCAAAGGAATATATCAACGGTTTAATGCCCATCTTAGAGAAAGAAACTGAGGTAAAAGAAGACCAGTCTCTAATTACTAAGGCTCCCCCTGCAACTTCAGTCAGTGCAATGAAAAGCGAGACTTCTTCCTTGGCTAACTTCGAAGCTACCACTGCAACTCAGCTGTTCACTTGTGCACAACGACAAGCAGGCACAACGAAAGACGAAAACAAAAACGATAGCAAGGTACATCCTCCCACCACACCTTTATCAAGTACATCCACGAGTAGCAATGTATCATCAGATAAGTCTACCGTTATTGATGATTTCTCCACACCTACTCCTACCGCCAGTACACCCCTCCATTCCTCTGAGCACAAACAAAGACTTCAGTCTACAAGAGGTCTAAATGTTTCTGGTGATATTGCTAGCCACAAACATAAGCATCGCTCCAGTGTCGACAAAGACTTACAAACTACTGGTAGCAATTATACCAGTAACAAGAACAGTAAAGTATCAAAACCTCATGGACCCCTATTTTTCAAGGAGTCTTGGACTGAACTATTCCATGATCCAGCATACTTGAGGTATACTCGGCCGACACCAGAGTTCCTCAATGAAAGCGCAAATGAAGGACCTTTCAGTACTGGCTATGATTCCGAATGTATTTATTATCCTAACTGTACCAACCGAAACTGTAAATTCATTCACCCTGGACCTGATAACAAGTAAGTATTTGAATGCTCTATAACTCTTTGCTCAGTATTTTTAACCGTTCCCTCTTCCTCTTCCTTATTCATTTTTGTTGTTTGTTTCATAGTCCTCACGTCAAACGCTTCCACAGTTCTTCCAAAAAGCAATGGTCAATTGCCGATCGTATTGATAGACAAGCACAGTCTCATCCTCCTGTTTGGAAATCACGTTGTACTCATTGGCCATTTTGTACCAACAATAATTGTAAATACGCGCATCCTATTAAAGAATGCCGGTAAGCCATTGAAATTGAAAGGAAAAGTCTCTGTTCGAGACATACTTATTGATCATCTTTTCTTTATAGAATGGGCGAAGAATGCACATTTAAAGAACGTTGCATGTTCCTTCATCCTAGTGATTATATGGAGCCACCAAGAAAATATGGCAACAAAAGACATACCCTTCAGTAACCAACATAAATGCATCGATACAACTTACTATTTTATTCTTCTACTAAATAAACAATTCAGCTTATATAAATGAAACAAACGATATAAGTTCTTCTCTTTACAATAAAATGAAATTGGTTTCTCTAAATAGATAAAATATTGTAAGGTCCATTGTAGACTTTATTCAAGCTATTTAACGTGTTGAACTTTGTTGTGAATAGCCCAAAATTTGCATGTGTAATACACTAGTTACGATAAGTTGAGAAGTAAAGCTTGGTGATTATGGTAACTTAATTGCAACGTTTATTATTATTGTTACGAGAGGAAGTATTATATTATAATACAATTGACCAAATATTAGAGAAGAAACGAAAAGCTCCTTTATCGACAGCATGAAAACTAAAACCCAACCATAACTATTCCTGATATTCATCGAAAATCATTAAAAATTTGTTGAAGCCCTTTTAGTCAGAACGATATTTCCGCATTTTAGAATAAAATTCTGCTTCGAACCTACTTTGGAGCATGGGTTTTTATTAATTACTAATCCAAAGAAAGATGCAGAGAATCGATCTTAACAACAACAACAACAAAAAAACAAAAAAAAAGAAAAGTATAAATATAGACAGCACTACTAACCGAAAGGATTGCCAATAGAAGGCAACAGAACCAGTGAACAGTAAAGTAATATCTCCACGCGATGAGGGGTGAATTGCATTTTTGATACGTGCTTGGTGCCTTATCTTAAATCATGGCTGACGTGTTTCTTCTTTCGCCTGCCTCATCCCTCAGGTTCTTTGATTCTCATGGTGTCTCATTTACATGATGATATCTGCGCTGTGCTACTTAGTGGTTCAATTAGCGATAAAGTGCATGGGGTTGCTGCATTCTTATCGTATTAATTCAAATAACTCATTAATTTGCGTAAACTGTCTGAGAATGTGTTTGCTGAACATCGTCATGCCGTGACGAATCATACGTGCATTCTTAAAACGGCTGTAGGCATGTAACATGATATCAATTTACGGATATTGAGGACACGAATAAATAGATGAGCACCGGTGTTTGTGGAATCGGAATAGTCACCTTCCTTAAGAAAATAAGTCTTAGAGACTCTATTTCATAACATTTTATAAACATACCAAGAAAGATATTATAACAGTCAATTGCAAATCGTAAGCCTTCGCGTAGCGTTGTTAATTTTTAAAGCATTCAAAAGCCCCATCTATTGCATGCGTTCATGGGTACGTCGTTTCAAATGAAATAAAATACTTGTTGGCTCATGTACGAAGAAATATCAAAAGTGTTTTATTGAACACGTAAGAAATGAAGAAGGTAGTACATATTATCCTTCAACTATGGTGATACTTTATGAGACTAAACTGCTTCTGCTAACCAAGGATGGTTTAATATTTCTTCAAGGCTAAGTCTCTGTTCGGGATGGTGCCTAAGCAATCCTTTAAGCAAATGTAGGCAATTTTCTGAAAGTTGGGTAATAGTGGCTTCAGCAGTATCATTTCCCAAGGTCGTTAAGGGCACACTCGACCCAGGGATAAGCCATTGGCCCTTCATCACTTGATCAGAGCTATAAAACGGTGGCTGGCCAAACAAAAGAGTATATAACAGTACACCTAAAGACCACACTTCAGCTGGCTCTGGCTTGTAATCAAGTCCTAGCAAGATTTCTGGTGAAGCAAAAGTAACTGTTCCTAAAAATTTGGTTACTTTGTATCTTGAAAATTTTTGTGCCGTATTTAAGGTCGTTGCATTACTTGTAATGCCGGAACGGCTACTGATACTACTGCGGTGATGATGACGACCTGAAGAAGTATTCCCATGGGAAGTTTGTACGATTGGTATTTGAATAGCTGCTCCAAAATCAATTAATTTGACCTAACATCATACGAAATTAATATTCGAAAATCTTGATACGCTAGTTGTTATGATTCCTTAAATTTCAAATTGCTTCAATCTGTAATTTTACCTTAAAACTAGAGTCAATGACTATATTTTCATCTTTGATATCACGATGATAAATTCCGATCTTGCTCAAATCATATGCGCATTGAATAATCTGCCTGAAGATGGTTTTAATTTGTGCTTCCGAGAATACGACATTAGATTCACTACAATTGTTGTTGATGCGCTTTCTTTCTTGAAAATGTTTCTTCTTCTGTTCTTGTAAGTGTTTGTGCTTTAGTAGTGCCTCAATACATTCAAATAAATCACTAGAGCTTCTTCTTCTATGACGACGATGCTTGCTTGTTTGGTGTTCGATAAAAGCATATTCCTTACTTGTCATGGCTAACGATGTATTTTGTAAAATGGTAAGTGTAGAAGCCATAGGCGTAACAGGCGATGAGGACTCGACACTACTGCTGGAGGCCCTACAATCACTGAAATAATTTATTGAATTTGTCTCTCCTTCTATACCAGTAGCGTGGCTGTCACTGGAATTTGTATAATCACCCGTCCCCTTGATGCAATCATTAAAAGCATCAATCTTTTTGTCGCAGAGGCCCCATTCTGTGCCAAACAACTCCATAACTAGATAATAATAGCGTTGATCTTCGAAATAATCAACATAGTCAATAACAGTAGGGTGATGCTTAATGCGCATTAAAATAGCTATCTCTTTGGGTATATAATTTCCCCTCTCTTCAGTGATAGTAGCTGTAGCAGCCGTCGTTGTTGGTATTGCTGGAAGGAATACCAATTGCTGCTTTGATAACTTGTGTTTGTAGATGAATTTGACAGCCACTTCGCGGCCTGTAGTGCGCTGTAATGCAGACATAACAAAGCTATATCCACCGTAGCCAATATGATCTTTTAATTCATATTGTTGGAGAAAATATTGGTTGCAAAGCGATTCATTCATTGAAGAAAATAAATCGAATGTAATGCAATAATAGAAGAGAAGAAAAAATTATTCATTGCATGATTCAAAAGAAAAGTAGCAAAAGTACTGTTTCGAAAGAAAGGGTTTAAAAGGCTGAAGATATGACAGCTTGCACGATGCTAAATCGATATGAATCGATTTCTGCACGATATAAATCGAGATATTCATTAACATTGCTTCCATCATTTTTATGTTTCAGAGCAGAAAGTGCTCCATTATTTTTCCATAACCTCTAATTTTGCATGAAATTCATGTGATGGCTCTTAAACGCTTCATTCTATTCGCGGGGATCTACTACAATCGTGATTACCTTACCCTGAAATCCATGATTATTACTGCCAGGCAAAACCACTAATTTTGTTCTGTAATTTTCCCGCTGTTTGATGAAAACGCTGTTCCACGCTATTAAGAAATGATGATAATGACGAAAACGCCTTGCTCGAAACAGTTGTTGTTAACCGGCACTGAAAGAAGCGTATGTGAGGTTGAAAATCCACAAGATAATTATGTTTTCTTGGTACGACTTCTTCCTCTGCTTGAAATTTATACTTGACTTTATCAGTTTCTTCATTAAAATTAGCCTGCGTAATAGTGTGTATCCATCAACTTTTTTCTTATCTCTAAATAGCAAATGTCGAGCGGGTTCAGTTACACATTATGGTCGTTGAGTAAGTGTGTATATTCTACTTACATTATTACCATTAGCCGTGTACTTGAACGAGGAATGTATTCTTTCTTCTACATTTCCATTAAACGTGATATAGGTTGAATCTTTATTTAAAACGGTCAGCATGGCCTTGGGCTAGATCTATCAAATGAGTTCTGAATCAAATCATACTCTTATCTGATACCGTGTCAACGTTCTCATTTAGACTACAGCAAATTATCTGAAGCTATCCAAACCAAAGGTCCAAATACAATTTAATTATGAGTATTGTTAAATGGATAGTATCATCAAAAAGGTTGGATGGAACATTCAGAGTTGTGTTTTTAAAACCCGTTTATTAACTTTGCTATATAAAACTGATGAGGAAAAGTTTTCATTAACTAGTTACATAAACATATGCTATTAAGTCTAATGATACAGTACACCAGTAAATCTATTTACACTAATGTAAGCATACATTTCGACTTCAACTGATAATGTATATTTATTATAGGTGAATAATCTATGTAACTACTCAAGCGTAATTACGTGTATGAAGGTTAAAATTGAGAAGCAACTTAGGCTTGGGCGCCTGAAAATTGTTTTGGAATTTCGATTCGGTGCGGTTCTGTACTTTAATCCTGTCGAAACTAACAGTCAAGTTTGCAGTCGAATTGCGTTGCTATCATCATCTACGTAGTCTACAGTTTTTTAACTGCGGGTTTAGACGCAGCTTAAAAATAACTGGATGGAATGACCAAGATTTTGAGACGATTGAGTTAGAGTTTGAAGATCGAACTACACTAAAATGGAGACGTTTACCTGTAAATATCAAGCCAGTTTCGTTCTGGCGATAATAAAAATCAAAAGACTAAGAAGTTGTCTTCCGGCTGAACTCCGTAGGACGTTCCTTGTCTTTCCATACCGAAATGCTGATGGCCATCATGTTTTTTGCTGCATTGACATCGCGGTTCCATAGTATCTTACAGGTTTTGCAAACAAGGATACTACAGCCACGCACGGTGTCTAATGCTTTCAATGTGTCTGAGCGACAACAATTGCATATGCGTGATGTCAAGTATTCATCAATTGTCACGGCAAGGAGATCACCAGCAGCCTCTCTTCGCTTCAATGCACGCCACAAAACACCAACGACACCAGTTCTAGGGCCTTTTAGATGAACGGCGGATTTATTGAACATGCCGTCACCAAATACAACCAGAGGAACTTTTTTGCGATCACTCAGCCTGAATTTCTCAGGGACCCATCGTCTGTTGAAGGAAGACAGTAGATTGAGTATACACAAATTCAGTGGACAATTAATCGCTACAGACTTACCGAACGTGGTTATCGCTCTTTGTCTCTTCTTCTTCCCGGATCTCCTTCTCATTCTCTTCTTCCTGTTTTACTTTCACTTTCTGTTTCGTCTTCTTTCTTCTTTTTTTATGCTTAATTTTGCCCTTCTTCTTTGGCCATTTCATCTGTTCTTCCTTTCTTTTCTTCCGTAATTCTTTGTCGTATTTGATCCCTCCATCGACAAGCATGTTCACCATCATGTCTGCAGCACGCTGTCTGCCTTGATGCAGACGGAACCTTGTTTCACCCATACCTGGCCCATAGAATGAGAACAGGATCTCTAAATGTTGTAGTATGTAAATAATATATCTCTTATACTGTTCAGGCGAGCCTGTTTTACTACTTGGTATATTGCTTTCTATCGCTTTTATCATACAACCGGCCTTTTTCCTTTCTAATTCTGCATTGACACGAGTACTACCCGTCATGTGATAATATTCTTTTGTCGAGCAGCGCCGTATCTCATGTCTGTTTGTTTCTAACCCGATTGCTGCTGTAAATACGGTCTTTCGGCCAGGATCAACAAATGTGGGTCTGTAGTTTGTCGTGATTTCTTCATAGGAGAAGTCTTCCAACGTCAAGTCATGATGATCAATGATGGCGTCTTCTCTTGGTTTCTTCTTACGACTAAATAGGAAGTCTACAGTGAAGCCATCAGATCGAATGAGATTCCTGAAGAGCATACTTGTGTTTGTCTTTAACTCAGCAATACTATGATATAAGTGAAAGAATAATCTTGAGAACAGAGTCTTTTAGCAGAGTGCTATTTACTTTACCTTCTGAAGCCTAACTTTTTGAAGTTGAACACTTTACAAAATTGTTCAAGTTGATTCCAATAGCCCTTTACAAGTCTTCCAGGAAATAAAAAAGGAGCAAGGGCGTTTATGCTGATGGTAATGAAGCGCCATGATACTGAGGGTGTTGGAAAAGGGAAGAAGCGATGAGGTAATGGTAACCTACGAACATCGTAGGCAAGATGATTAGAATGCTCTTCTTCGTAGTAGTCTTGGATAAACCACAAGGGCTTGACAAATTTGACAGGATCGGCCGCCAATGATAAAAGTGTAACCTTTTCCTCCACAAGGTCTGCAAAGTTCTTGCGCAAATTATCTATTCTTAATTTGTCATCACTGCTTAACTTGACTTTATCAGGCCATTCGGGTTCGCCTTTGCAAATCACTTGATAGCAGTATTTTGTTGCGATTTCGTCAACATCGCGCTTTACCATGCTCTAAAGAGAAAAGAATATTGAGTTTGCTGCTGTTTGGTTTAATGTAAAGTTATTCCTTACCGGGAACATATTCTGCAAGGTATAGTATAGATATTTGAGCATTCGCTGCTCAAAAAGCTCAACAATGCTGTTTGTATATGTGGTACTGAGCTCTTTACAAGCTTCTGTCAAGCATTGGCTATAGCCTTTGGTGAAGCTATATCTTACTTCGACAGCTGGATGCTTCTCTTTGAACTGCTTATAGAAGTTTTTCATGGAATCATTTATTGCTTTCTTGTTGGTTACTGTTTTACCTGTTACAAGTTGTCCAACCGAATACCAGAACTGTTGGGTGAAAATTTCTTTTGGTGTGTCTTTCTTATTATGGATGAGATAAGCGTTAACAAATAGTTGCGAACGAAACACAATAGCCCTAATGTCATTGCAGCACGAAATGACTCTTTCTCTGAATTTCTCGCGGAAGGTTGGTAACACCGCACTGTCGATGGGAAGCTTTCTTGTGAATACAGTAGCATCATCACCAAGAACAGATGAAATGAGTTCTTCTTTTGAAGGCGTGTGTTTGAGGCATTGCGGCGAACGAGCAGTGGTATGGCCATCTTGTCCACAGCTGAGGCACTTTGCAGCTTGTGCGGTGGTCTTTTTCCGTTTAACTGCTTTCTTCTTCTCTTTCACTTGGTCACTCTGTTTTCTCTTTTTGCCACTGCTACTAACTTTAAGGAGGTTACTCACAAGCAATTAAGTGCTGTGTGTAAGATAGATTTAGGTTTATTGCTTACCATCATCAGCATTTACGGCTTTGTAATACTTGCATTTGTAGTAACGCTTGTCAAAATGACCTGGTTCATAGCAGTCTCGACACTTGGTATGCTCTAAAAAATTACAACAAATATCAGAATCCTTATATCTTGATCTGACGGTTCTCCTACAATTATCAAGCATTTTACCAAATGGGTTCCTTTTAACCTGGTTCTTATGCTTTTCTTTAATAGATCTAATCTTCTGTATAATGAAACTTTTGTACATGAATAGAGCTGTAAGTTACAAAAAAAGCGAAATACGGAAAAGAAGGGATCTTATTCTCGTTTAAAAAAACCCCTTCATTATAATCTAACTTTGACAACAAAACGCGAGAAAAGAAAGACACGTCTTTATCATTGGGCAAAGTTCCGAAAAAGGCACTGACGAACATCTGGTTGGGTCTTATAACACATCGTCAAATGACGAAAAAGTTGTCAAGCTTTTTGTAGCTCGTCCTATTGCAAAGTCACGCCAATAAGAGTTTTCTTAGCGACCTCTTTACTATGAGCACTCATTTTTAGGACTAGCTTGTACGCCATCCTTAATGCTGCTTGGATGATACTGGATAATTGATTATCAGCGAAATCGTCCAAGAATAATATACCGCTTCATCGTAAAATAATTGAAAGTTGTCTAAATTAAGATTTAATAGTGTCCAATAAAATTTGTGAAAAGTCTGAAATAGTAGTTAAAACACTGTATTTCATAGTCTAAAGACTTGTTACACGATATTTTTTGACTAATTACATCCGACGAACTTTATTTCAACACTCAGTTTTACTTTCTACTAAGTTGTAGATGTGAGCCTTTCTTTAATTCCTTTTTGTCTAATTTATATGCAAAAGAAGAAAGGTCGACATTACTATTGATGAAGCAAATTGTAAGCCAAATGTTTCCAAAGGCTTACAGTTGCCTTAAGTAAACATCTCCCAATTTTGATATTGCTCGTCACGTTATTGAGTTCACTAAAATTGCTGCTCTTGTGGCTTATACATATGGACTCTTGTTCTTCATCAAAAATTTTTTGGAATGAAGCTGTTTTGTTTCAACTCAGTTAGAAATATAAATTTGT